AATGTACCGAGTTTAACTCAAATCACAGAAACAAGAGACAAGCAAAATTTCACTATATCAAAGCGGGTGGAAGTGACGTTAAATCCAAAGATTACTCAATGAAATAAAGAAGGGAACATAGACATCCAAGAAAAGACTGCTAACTGCCTCTTTCTTGACGCATAAATCGTGTTTCAGGTGTTCGAAAGAAATTGCTTCAGCAAACTTGAGCATAATTGAGCTATTCTGTCTATTGATAATTTTAAAGAAATTTGCGATTTTCAGTTCATGACCCGTATGAAGGAGTTGTCTGGTAAAGGTAACGTTGTAAGCGTTTGTTCCCCTGAGGCATAGGCTTTTCGGCACATGTTCAGAAAAATTGGAGGTGTGCCTCATTTTCTGTTCCCTCAATGTAACTGCTCTCACAGATACACGTAAATTTGTATAAAGACTTGAAGTTAACGTGATAAGGGTATCTGTCAGCTTTTGACTGCAGCAAAAGAAATGATGTCTAACAGACAGGAACCAAATTAGCTGCAGGAAAGGCCCTGGCTAGTGACGCACTCAATCTTCTGTTGACCACTGCTGCAATATTTTCACCTCTGAAGTTGAGTTGAATGAAGACAAGCTTTTTTCCTACTGTGATTTGTTTGATATTTGGGCCTTGACATCTTCCACCATATTTGTCAATGAATCTCTGAAGGGAGCCATTGTTTTATAACATCTTTTCAAGAAACAGAAATGCTTCGTCTGATCTCTATGTAGAGCATATTCTCCAGCCGTACAGTACAGAAACTTGACTAGTGTTCGTTTGAAACTATTTGAACAAAATCTACTAAAATGTGGGTATCGCCCCTTCCATGTAAGCTTTCGGTAAATTGACCTCTAGAGATCACCATCTTCCAGGCGTTGCATAGCAGTGTCATTTTCATGTTTCATCTAAATACATGATGGGACCATATTCTTCTGCAAAACTGTTGTTTTTGCTTTATTGAAAAACGTAAAAGACTGAATTATCTCTAATGATTTATGTTAATGACACCACAGGTGAATATACTTGTGATACTGTAACACTCCTGCCTCTAGAAATCAGATGTTGACATCCTGTGGACTTCATTCAAGCCAACTATACTTCACTACGGCGAATGACTTGATGAAATGGTATCAAATTTCTATCCAAACGTTCTCAACGTTCTCATTTTCAATTTTACTTTAATTTTGCCTACATTTTTCGTTTTATGAGGCATCAGATTGGTATAAATAACACATCTTAATCACGTCTATCAGTGAAGATTCACTAATGAACTGAGAAGTGATCGTTAGCTAGTAAAACATTCTGCATGACAATTAAAAATTTGATAGCGCTATGGCAAGCGATATAAGCTTTGGGTAAGTGTTTTTCGTCTCCGTCATTAGTCAGAAATAACGAGATGAGAGATACCAGTGTTTGACAATTCCTCATAATTTTCAAGACCATCTGAAACAGGCTTGAATCAGAAAACTAAAGTTGACGTAAAAGATGTGCGATTGAAGTGTCTTCCGAGTTTTTCATCCAATCTGATCAATTCACAAGCAAGTTAGTAAAACACTAAGCTTTTAATCCGGAAACCACTAGCCAGAATCTTGCAGTGACTCATCTTCAGTCAACATTCCTTACGTGAGTATCATTCTACACACATATCGGGATTTCAAGCAGCTTTATGAACAAATAATCACTTCTCTCGTCTTCCTAATACTGATACCTGAAAAATCAAATGTGCAGTCAATTGTATACTTAAACAACCGTATCCTGGTATTCATTGAGAAACTGTTTTATCATTAAAGCTGCAATGATAGTATTTCTGCGCCTGTTGAATATTATTATTATTGTTTCCATTAATTCCTAGAGGAACATAGGGCTCCAGCCGTGCGTCTCCATTGCGTTCGGTTCTCTGCTACAGTCTTCACCTGGCTCCATGTCTGCCCACACGTTTTCATCTCCTCTTCACATGACCTCCTCCAAGTCACCCTTGCATTGACGACCAACTCGCCGCTTCCCTTTTGGGTTCCGTTCGAGCAATGGCTTGTCTAGTGATGTCACTTGATGGTTTCCTCAGAGTATGGCCTGTTAAACAAATTGTTACTAACATCATTGGTTGAAACTCTAATTTACCATTGTTTTTGTTATCACAGATACTGAAACAAATCACTTTCTGGCATGTTTCAAACTTCAGAATGTTTCCATTTACATCTATAAAACTTCATCAGACACGGAGTTTAGGACTCTAAAGTTCAGAGCCAATCGTGTGGCGATCCAGCCCCTGATTCGGTAAGCGGTGACTCATGAATTCTAACCTTCACGATGCAGCAAGGCGATCACTGAATTTCATCAGTAAGTATGTGTGTGTACACTCAATTTCATCAGCCTAACCACTTTATCCTTCAAAATCCTGTCATGAAAGGAACATTTATCAGGAATAAAGATAATAGTGCGTCGGTGTCATAGCAGTTAGGACGCTCGCCGACCATGCACATGGTCCGGAGTTCGATCCCCGGCCACAGACGCACTCCTTTACCTCACTAAGCCGGAAATAATGCTGATAAAGAGGAAAGGTTGGGCATGAGGCTAGCAACTCCATCCTGTAAAAATAATCATCAATGCTACAGAAACTTCAAGCCACTAGCTTGAAGCCCTATGTTCCACTGGGGAACGTGAAAGAAAAAATATGACAAAAGTTGGCTGAAAACTTGCTCTAGTCATTTTAAATGTAAATTTGTGTAGCATTCACTTAGATAAAAGCTGATTAGCTAGAAGAGACTGTTGGAAATTCGAGTGAAACAAAGGAGAATTTAACAACTTCGTATGCGAAATATATTTTGATAACCCTAGACTAATAATCTAATCGCTCAAGATCAGATGGCCGGAAAGAATCACCAACAAGAAACTATGGGAACAAACAAAACAAGAATTAATCGCCCAACAAATATGCAGGAGAAAGTGGAGATGGATTGGACACTCGCGGAGGAGGCCGCTGGGTGACATCACGCGTCAGACCAACGCTCGAGCGGAACTCGAAACGGAAGCGGCGAGTGTGACGTCGAAGGGTGACATGGAGGAGATCGCGTGAAGAGGAGCTGAAACAGTATGGATTAACATGGATGCAGGTGAAAAGTATAGCAGAAGACAGAAGCAAGTGGATACGTGTAGTTGAAGCCCTATGTTCCACTTGGAACCCAAGGGAATAATAATAATAATCTAATAACCGGTTAAACTGACATAACAGAATATTAAGGTATTTCAAGTTTTGCACAGTTGATTATTCATCTGGTCAGGCTCTAATTTCAATCTAAGATTTCTGTAATACTTGTCAGCGTCCTTGTAGTCCACAGTTGATCGGTTACTAGACGAACGTTTGTTTGTGGGGATTCGACTGATGCCAACACTGATCATCGAGTGATTTCATTTAGAGTACCATAGGGAAGCATGAAAGAATAGAAGTCTGCTTTTTTGATTACAGCTTGATTACACACCGTATTTTTTGGTAGAGGTATGGGATTTTCAGCATGTGATATCGGTAGCCCAAATTTTGCAGGCCGACCATAGATATTAGGTGTGCGTCGGCAGAGGGTCAAACCCCGGAGTATGTGCACGGTCAGCGAGAGTCCTAACCACTGTGCCACCGACGCTTCGTCCTAGTTTGCGATTGTCCAAAGGTTATTGACAAGGAATCGAACCCAATTCCTTCAGGATACAAGACATGCTCGCTGACCATTCACACACTTGGAGGCAACCCAATCGCCAATGAACTCTAACTTCTGCTGACCAGGGCAACCATAGGCAATATCATCCATCAGTGAGTTAATGAAGTCATTTTCAAGTCAGATAAGCTGAAAAGCTTTCACTTGAATCTTATTCTGCCTAAACATATCGTTCTTTGCAATATAATTTTTATTAATTCAGTCTTTATACCTAGAGTATGCCATAGTTAGTGCTCATCAAAGCCTACCGAAAAAAAGAACACAGCAGGAATGTTCACTGAAACCCCACAGAAGCGAATCCTAGACTTCATTTTATGGTAAGGGGTCAAAGCTCTCACATGAGTTTTCTCCAGTTAAAAATGTCATTTTCTAAAGTTTGGTTTGTAAGGGTTTGTTATGTTTTACGAGTTGATCACGGACTGATATCAGTTAGAGAACCATTGAAAACCAGGGAGTACTGGAAACCTGCTGTTTCATCTTAGTTTGGGAATCATCGGCAGTACGCACCCACACCATGGGATTCGAACCCAGGACCTTCCGGTTACAAGGCAAGCTCGTATACCATTCAGCCACTGGGACCCGATTCAACGGCTCATGAATTCTAACTTCTACCAATTCGTGATTTTAGCGCGACCCCAACCATTGTCGTTGGTGGGAAATCCATCCACACACGTGACATCTAATTGGACCTCACTGGTCACGACTTCTCACTAGAACTCCAGGAAGCTCCAACCTGTAGCAAGTCACTAGCGAGCATCAGATGTCATTTATTAGTGCTAAATTCTTTGTATGTTGCACCTTTAGGTAGATAAAATAACCATTCCTATTCTATCTGCCTAGTACACGATGAAAGGTTAACCTTCCAGTACATTTTATAACATCCAGTTAATAGGGTCTATCACTAGCTGGATTTGGTAATGTATTGGGCAACGATAGAAATGAGAATTCACGGATATAATCAGATTCCAACCCACTAACTGAACGACAACGTTCTTACCTCTTAGCCTGAAGACGTGACATCCGGCTTCTACTACAAGGGTTGTTGGTGCTCACTAGAAACTGAGATCAAACTGAAATAAAGGATCTATTCATGGCTTCTTAATTTACAAATGGTTCCCCAGTTGACGCCTATTTCTGACAGAATCATTTTTGTAATATTTTAAACATCACTCAACTAACAAACTTAAGTTTTACATCGCTTATAATGCTCTGACAGTGATAAGGAAACTTACTGAAACTCATATAATTCGAAAAGGTCTTGCTAAAGATAACTAATTACTTACCAATAGAAAGCTGAGATTGTCTAACCTTTGGGTAACTTCTTTTGTATACGAAATTTGATTAGTTAGCGGATTAGTGTCTTCAAAATGGAAATTAGATCCTTTGACATCAATATTCGTCAGCTGAATAAACGCTGAAAACCATAATAACAAAGAGAGAAAAGGAGACTGTTAGTGATAAATAATTGTTCCGATAAGAGCAACGAAGGTTCTGTGCTGACCAGTGAGATCAAACATACTTTATGGAAGGACGGGTGAATGCTGATGACATTCGCTAGTGGTTCTACGATATATATATCCCGAATCGGTAGAAGTTAGGATTCATGAGTCGTTAGACTCCATTTATAGAATGAATGTCCTAATTATTAGTATTATTATTACTATTATTGTATCTTTTAATTCCTAGAGGAATATAGGGCTACAGCCGTGCGGCTCCATTGCGTTCGGTTCTCTGCCAGAATCTTCACTTGGCTCCAAGTTTGTTCACACGTTTTCATCTCCTCTTCACATGACCTCCTCCAAGTCACCCTCGCACTGACGACCAACTCGCCGCTTCCCTTTCGGATTCCACTCGAGCAATGACTTGTCTAGTGATGTCACTTGATGGTTTGTTTCCTCAGAGTATGGCCAACCAATCCATCTCCATTTCTTCCTGCCTGCCTATTTCTTTCACAATCGGTTCCTGCTGAGTTGGTTCACTCATTGCCAGAGATCCATCTCTGTTGCTGATCTCTTCTGGCCGGCCATCTGATCTTGAGTGGTATTGAGCGAAAACAACTAGCTGTTAATGAAGGTCTGTAGTTTGTTTGAGATGCTGTTTATGACGCGCAGTGCGTCTCTGATCCATCCGTATAGTGAGTAGCACTGACTGACTTCACATTGGAGTTGAAAATCCGGATCTTATCTTCGTTTTGATGGTGAGTAGGGCTGTTGACCTCCACACAGACTTGAGAGTAGTGAAAGCTTGTCTTGCTTTTCCGATCCTCGCTGCTTTGATATCCTCGTCAGTTCCACTGGCCTGTAGTTGAGAGATGCTTCCCAGGTGGAGCCTTGACTGCAGAGTCTCATTTTTGGATGTAACTCTTTCTCTAATTGACGTCACTTACTGATCTGCCTAGGAATTCATCAAAGACCTAATATTTTAATGAAATATTTATATGATATTTATATACCGTAAGTTTATTACATTGCATGACCTTTCCTTTTACCAAAGTTTATAGCTTCATTTGACGTCAAGGAATACAGCAATTCTGAGTGTTATGAATGTATGGCAGGTATCACTGCGTTTCTTTACGTGTACTTGGTAACTTCATCTTTGTATCCATGATCATAAAATTGCCGTCAAAAGACATGACATCCACTCACTGCCTCATTTCGCTGCATACAGGCAACCACGAACATCAATTTCATTGGGACAATGTTCAAATATTAGACAGAGGAAACACCAAGAATGCCAGAGAATTTTTTGAAGCTTCGTATTCCAATGAACCATCAATCAGTAGACACATCGGGATAGACAAAATTTACCAACCGATAAGAAGGAAACCTCACACGCACAAAGGGTCAAACTTCAGGTCAAGGAAACAATCAGTTCCAATAGAAGCAGCCTAGAGAGTGTGAAAACACACAAAAACAACCAATCACGTTCAAGGTCACCGGGGGATATGATTAATAAACTCGTAGAGAAATCTAAAAGCTCACTTCAACAAATCGAAGTATGCGCTGAAGATGTTGCCTGGTAGGGCAATGAAAGCTTCACAAATAAACTATCCAGCTCAGAGAACACAACCACATCAAAAACTTTATAACATTGAGATAGTACTGAAACAGTCAGAAAAGTAAAACAGCAAAAGTAATTACACAACGATCCAATTCGTCGACTTCCCCCTCCTTATAATTTTACATCAAATACGAATGAAGGAAAAAGATGACGAAGAATGTGAGCCCAACGATGGAAGTTATCAGGAAAAGATGAATCATGTAAATAAGTGTGATACTGCGTTTAAGGTGAAGGTAATGCTGATCCACTATAGTCATTCCCCCTACATTTCTCATATCAACAGTAAACAGCCCCAAAGATCGACAACACCGTTTAACCATAAAATAGTAGTCAGTACAGTTGAATAGGAGTGATAGAGTGACATAATGAGACAAATAAATTTATAAGTGAGTTGTAAACAGGGTACACATAGAAACAAAAGTAATTTTATGTTGCCTAAGAGTTCAGGAGGATAGATGAATAAGGAAGGGTCAGAAAAATACAACGGCAGGGTCCATACCATGATAATAGAAGCAGATGGAATATTTTCTCTTGTATGCATAGCTCCGTTTTCTCCATCTAGATAGCTACAAATTCAGAAGTAAAAGGGGGCGATAGTGGGTCTTCTGATACAGGTTAATTTTCATTTTGTAAATCACCTTGAAGGAGTATTTATTTATTTTTATTTTTATTTTTGGTTACAGCTTGATGCCACACCGTCTTTTCAGTACAAGTATGGAATTTTCAGCATGGATATCGGTAGCCCGAATTTTGCAGGCCAACCATAGATATCGGGTGTGCGTCGGCAAGGGATCGAACCCCTGACCATGTGCATGGTCGATGAGAGTCCCAACCACTGTGCCACTGACGCACAGAAATAGAGTGGCCAGTTTCTACAAGGTATTCAGTTATTGTATTCCTTACAGAGACACTACGACCTTTCTACAACCACGTGGGATGTTACTCTTGAGACAAGAGACGTGTAGAACGCCGCTAATCTACATTGCTCCACAAGAACAGGTAGACTGATATATACGCATAGAAGTGGTGAAATGCGATATCTTATCGCCTGGGGGGGGGGCAGGAGAGCACTACACTTAGCGTTGCTGTGAAGAAAGGTTTTCTTAGAGAGGTTGAAATTCTTCTCCAGAGGACATCAGTGAGTAGGTCACCTTTGAATTCAAGGCTTTTCTGGCACAGGTAACTTCTCTAGTCTCTGAATCAGTAAATCTTGGTGGATATAGATTTTACATAGAGATTTCTTCCACAGAGCGTAGTTGTTCTTCCAGAGCATCAGAGCTGCAGATGCGTTAGTCATGAGTAGTCAGAGATATAATCAGGTTCCGTTTACGTCCAGTCGGTACCCAGTGAACTTCAGTAGGAACATCATCAATCACTCGGGAATACAAGCATATACAGCTGATAAGACATACTCTGAATTCTGAATTCCACAACCAGTTTGTACATTTCAACAATGAAATTCGGCCAACAATGGACATCAAAAAATACATAAAGGCCTACTCTCCAGGAGTCATTAGAAATCTTCCATTGGCCTTGATTTTTACGCTAACAGCACAATGTTGACGTCAACGATTAAACTACTGTGTAACGTGAAGTTCACACATGCTTTTTCGACAAGTGTAGATAAGCACAATACCTAGATCCAGAGCTTTATTCTGACTGCCTCAAACCGTGTAACATCTTATTATAAAACTCAGTTTTAAGAATGTAGTTTATTGCCTTGTTCAAGAATTATTAGAATAAATAAATTTTTTAGGAAAAGTTAAGTATCATGTCAAATATTCGTTATCCATACGAAAAGCCATAAATAAATCCATTCCAATGCTTAGTGAGACATGAAGCACTTTTCTCGATATACACCAAGTGACAGACACACATTTGGCAATTGAAAAGCACAAAAAAGTACAGTTTTAATCACTCAATATCTTGCATCAATTAGAGAGTCATTGGAAAGCCAGGAAGTACTTGACAGATGATCCGTTCAAGTTCGGGACTCTCCAGTGGTATGAAGGACATTCCAGTTACAAGGTGAGCTCATAAATCATTCAGACACTAAAATCTGGTCTTATTTTGATGTGATAGTGTGAAATATTCCCATATTATGAATTAAAAGTCAATCTGAACGAAGAATATTGTTTTCAATAATTTCTCTTCAGGTTCTTACAATTATAAAATATAATATTTGTTGTCGTTACAATAAAGGCCAGTTATGCGCCAGATACATTTTTAACGTAGAATAACAGATTAGTTATGGGGTGTCAAAATAAATAGTCGTATTTGTGTGACAAACTTGCTAGGCTGAATTTGATTACAAAATATTGTAAAATGGGAGACAATGGTGGTGATTAATTATAGTAGATTTGTAGAGTGTGGGGTAGGAAAATTGACAAGTCCTAATAGGCGACATCATATCAACCGATAGGAAAGGAACCTCATACACAAAGGGTCAAAGTTCAAGTCAAAGAAACACTGAGTTACAATACAAATATTCAGCGAAGAGACTCTTTTCAACGAATTTATTATCAAGCTGTACAATCGTATATATATGGGTTTTTTTTATAAAATTTATATCCGGTGAGGGAATTAGGTCAAAGGTGTGAATACATGAAATAATAATAGTATGAAATGCAATTAAAATATTTGTGATTATAATCATAGTTTAATGTCAAGTGGCACAATAATTAATGTCGTATATAGAATAATACATAAGGTGTATAGATTTTGGAAAAGGGTACATAATTATAAGATTAGTAGACGAATATAAAATGTTACATAACATGGTATGAAATTTGATAAGACAGAATTCAATATTGCAAAAAATATAAAAATATGAAAATTAATAATTTTAGGTTTAAAATGTCAAGTGGGTCAAGTGAAAAAGATTCAGAGTGAGAATAGTAATAATAATAACGATAATAACGGATCCGACCAGTAGGCTCCATGATACCACGTTTCTATGGACTACCTAAAATTCATAAAACAGGATTACCCCTGCGTCCTATCCTCGATATGGCGGGTTCTCCTTATCACGGAATCGCTCAATGGCTAGCTGAAATACTGGAACCAGTCAGAAGGCAAGTATCTAAGTTTTCCATTGATGATACGTTTAAATTTATTGATAGCATTAAAGATTTCAATGTCTCAGACAAAATCTTGTTCTCATTAGATGTAACGTCGCTTTTTACCAATGTTCCTCTCATGGAAACTGTTTGTTACTTATGTGATTATATTGATACACATAGTTTAGAAATAGGACTGCCGACCATCTACCTCAAAGAGCTTTTATTGAGATGCACGTTGAATGTTCAGTTCACCTTCAATAATGAGATCTTTAGACAGAGAGACGGCATTGCC